ATTGTTTCTCATTCTGACCTCTGGGGCCAAGCTCCATTTTTATGCTTACCCAAAATTCTTCAGTTTTCTACTTTGGTCTCTGAGTATCTTGCCCAGAAGAATGATATACCTCATGCGAATGATCAGTATTAGTTATCATGCCAAGTATATCTCCTGCTGTAAATCAGTAAGCTGTTGTCTGGTTTATAAACCAGTCTCTTAAGAAGTTACTCATGAAATCAATTTCCCAGAGCCCAATCACGTAGTTGTGGGTAGATTGTGTTACTGATCCTGAGGATCAGACTCTGGACTTGGGACAACCTCCCGCACTTCCAATTGCCTCCTAAACAGCTTTGGCTGTTTGGCTAAGTGTGTCCCATGTCTAATTGCTGCCCAACATCCTGGTTGCTCTTTCATTTTGTTTCTTTTCCCTAGCAATCAACAGCTATAAACTGAGGCTGCAGTGTTGTTAGAGCTTTTTTAGTCAATCTACTTGTAACTGCCCCATTTCATTTCACTATTCAGTACCTTTTTTGGGGGAAGTAATGCACTTTTGACATTTCATTTTTTTTCCAAGATACTGTTCAGTTGACCTATCCAGTTTGGTTTCAAGTGTTGAGAAGATTTTACACATGTGAATAGTTAACACCCAAGGAGTATCTGTAAACCTTGGTATACCAGTGCAAACCCCAAAAGTCCCATACTTACTTGAAAACTGTGCTAATTCAACAAATTATTTAACCAATACTTCCAGAAATCCCTAAGTTACCATAAACAGCAGATGTTACATACTTTTTTTTTAAAGAAATGCCTACCCTCTTCCATACTCCAATCAATGAATAAACATTTATTAAGCACCTGTTGTATGTCAGGAACTGTGCTAAGTGTGGGATATACAAACAACCATCCTTGCCCTCAAGTAGCTGACAGTCTAATGGTTCTCAATAAGGCTTATCCATCTCTTCATCTGAGCCCTTGATCCATCCCAGCTTGACTCCTCCAGAACATTGTCTCAACAGTCATTCCCTCTCAGGTATTTTCATTTCCTCCTTTAGACCATTCTCATCTGCATGTGACTATGTTATATTTAAGTCTCTTCAATGTAAAAAAATAAACTGACAAATTTTTACCTTCCTTTGATTACCTCGAACTCTGTCCTCTACCCTTTGCAATTTGGCTTCTCTCTCCATCACTTGATCACAATTACTGGCTGTAAGGTGATGACCAATGACCTTGTGATTGCTAAATCCATTGGCTTTTCTTTTAGTCAACATTATCCTTGACTTCTAGCAACATTTGGCGCTTTGACCACCACTACCTCCTTTTAGTTACTTTTCCTTTGCCTTCAATGATGCCTCATTTTTCTAGTTTTCATGTTTTCTTTCACCAGACAGCTCCTTTTATATCTCCTTTTTTTGGCTCTTTTTCTTCTTCCCAATCCCCTTAGGTAAGCGTTCATAAGGGTCTTTGTTTGACCATCTTCTCTTCTCTCTCCTTTGGTCTCCCTGCATCCAGACTCTTTCCTCTTGAATCTATCTCTCAGCTGCCCACTTAATATTCCTAAATGAAAGCTGGTAAGTGGTACAGTGGGTAGAGTGCTGGACCTGAATCAGGAAGACCTATATTCAAATTCTACTTCAGATGCTTACTAGATGTATGATGCTAGGCAAGTTTCTTAACCTGTCTGCCTCAGTTTCCTGAACTGTGAAATGAGTATAATAAAAACACCTATCCTGGGATTGTTGTGAGGATCAAATGAGATAATATTTGTAAAGTGTTTTGCAAACCTTAAAGTACTATATAAAAGCTAGTTGTTATATTATTGCTATTCTTATTATTGTTGTTGTTATTACAGTATCACAAATCTGACCGTATCTCCAGATCATGAACCCTCAGTGACTCCCTATTACCTCTGTACTTTTAGCAGTCGCTTAGTTATATCCTATTCATATGTGAAGGGCACTATTAGATGTTTAAATATACATTTAAAAACGTGAAGCTTCAATTGCATTATGAGTTATACCAATTGTGTCAGTATACTGTCAACTTTTGACTTTATACACAACCTTTCACAGCACCATTTGACCCTCTGTCTCAAAAGTGACCCTGACTGTGTTTACAGAGCTCTTTAAGCATTGAGTTGGCACACTAATTGGGAAGAAGACTAGAAATTTTCAGAATGTAGCTCTGTCCCAGTTTTCGGTCTTTACCCTAGCACTCTTGCTAGCACAAACAGAGAAGTACTTTTCTTTTGTTTCCCCTTTTTGTGTCCCGTTCCCCTTTATGTACAATTGTATTAGAATCCAGGAGCTGACTCTTCAAAGCAGATTGGTCAGAGTTCCACAATTAGTGTTCCTCTCATTTAGCTTGAGAGATAGCTTGGAGAGGTGGAAAAGAGGGTGTCTTCAGAGTCAGAAAGCCCTGAGTTGGAGTTCTGCCTCTAGCACATACAAGTTCTCTGCCCTTGGCCAAATTACTTACTTGCCTCTCAGTATTCCAGGCAACACTCTAAGGGTGTAAGTTATTAATAGTTGATATGCTTTGGTTTGGGGAGTTCCCTACAGTGATGAAATCAAAAGTCTGGACCAAAAGAAGAAAACTTTTTTGAAGCTATAAATAGATATTATGTTAAGAAAAAGATTAAAAAAAGAACAAAGCAAAAACTCAGGTAAGCCTTTGAAGAGAGAGATGGCTCCAGTTTTTAATATGCATGTTGCCTGGCATTTAACAAAACATCAGATTTGTGGTTTCACTTGTATTCTTCTATAGAAGGAACTTTCTCTATTGTGTATCTGCTTTGCAACTTCTAGTCTATTGTGTGGGGGCACAGAGAGGTTAAGTGATTTGTCCTGGGTTAAATAGCCTTGGAACTTGGAATCAGAGCATTTCTCTGTCCACTGCCCCTTGCTCCCTTTTGGGCTTGCAGTAGGTAATAGTAATAGGTAATAAATGGCTGTTGAATGAATAAGTGAAGAAGGAGAGCAACAAGTCACTTGCAACAGACAGTCTCTGTGCTCAAGGAGCTTATGTTCTAGTGGGGGAAGATAACATACAACATGGAGCTGAAAGTGAGGAAGGAGAAGATGAAGATACCTGGTTGCCAGGGCATGGTGTTGAAGTCTAGAAAGTCAGGAACTGGTCCAGGAGGGGAATGAAGACAGGCCATTCTGAGCCCCTCCGAAAATGGAGCCTTCAAGAGTAATTAACCAGTGGTTGTGACTAGTGTTCATTTAACAATTTGGGAAGGGGTCCATTACAGTGATCCTCTAGTTGTGCTTCCTGCTTAGCTCCAGAAAGGCAAATAAACCCTCAGGTAAATGGAGTCCACCTAGAGTAGTATGTTGGTAGGGGAATCCCTTTCTTAGTGGCCTGTGAAAACAGAAAGCTGAGGCAAAGTTTACCTAGCTAGTCACAGCCCCAGAACAACAAAGGAAGTGGGACCTGGCCTGGGGAAGTGTGAGAAAAGTGGAGGGAATGGGATTGAGAGAATTATTTAGGTGGCAGTGAGGAACAGAGGACAAAGTGCTATTGGAAAATAATGAAAAAACTATAAATTACTATTTCCTTTCTAGATTTTTAGAGAAAATACTCAGTTGCCCTCTAGTGGTAGTCCTTCCAGGGCCCAGAATTAGAGTGGTGCAGAACATAGAAATTTTGTTTCACCTCTGGGACTGAAACGAACCACGGAAAACTGAATCTGAATAAAAGTTTGGATTGTATTCCCAAAGTAGGCTGGGTGTCTTCTCTGAGATTACCTTCAATTTTCCCTCTATATGTCTTGTATGTACTTAGTTGTTTGAATGTTGTCTCCTTCATTAGAATGTGAGCTCCTTGAGGGCAAGGACTGTTTTGTGTCATTCTTTGTATCCCCAGCACTCAACCCTGTATCTGACACATTTTTAAATAAATGGTTATTCACTTCTCCTTTGTGATTCTTGTCTCTGTTATCTCACAGATCCTTCTACATATAAGACATGTATAAGGAAAATGGAAGGTAATCTCAGAGGGAGTAAGTAAGAGCTCACAGAAGTGAAAGGCTTTTTGCCGAAGGTAGAATTTGAGCTTAAGTCCCTTTTGTTAGGGTAGATCCTATATCATTGAGATCATAGATTGCTGAAGTCACAAATATTAAATCATTGTGGACAGAGAAATACAATGGAAATAGGTATTAGAAACCTACTAAGCCTTATTGTTTGGCAGTTTTCTTCACACTTTGAGTTTAAACTGGTTTTTCCTTCTCAAGAAAAGTTTTTCTATTCTAATATGTAAGTAAAAGTTGAACACAGGCAAAAGTAGGTCAACATTTAAATATTGGTAGGAGGGCAATGGTTGCTTTGTTGCTAAGAGGTTTTTTTTTTAGCTCAAAATCTGAGTAATGTTATTTTCAAATGATATTTTTTGTCCTTTTCCATGCAGAAAAAGAAAACCGATTAATTTCTTCATGTTACGAGAATATACCCAGTCTACTCTGGGTATATAATCTAAACTTTTATTCAGATGCAGGTTTCTGTGGTTCATTTCAGGACTGGAAGTGAAAGAAAATTTCTTTGCTCTGTACCACTCTAATTCTGGGTCCTGGAAGGGCTGCTACTACAAGACAGCTCAGAGTGTGTGTGTGTGTGTGTGTGTGTGTGTGTGTGTGTGTGTGTATGTATGTGTGTGTGAAAGAGAGAGAGAGTCACTTATTAGAAAAGGGCAATTATTTTTATTTTTTTAAATTTTTATTTTTTTAGTGAGGCAATTGGGGTTAAGTGACTTGCCTAGAGTCACACAGCTAGTAAGTATTATGTGTCTGAGACTGGATTTGAACTCAGATCCTCCTGACTCCAGGGCCAGTGTTTTATCCACAGCACCACCTAGCTGCTCCAAAAAGGACAATTATTAAGAAATTTTATTTCAGATTTCAAATGAGAAGACAAAATCTATCTGTATTCTCCTACTCTAATGTTGTCTTTTAGCATAAAATGGATTTCAGTTATTCGGGTGACTTATGTTGCCTCTTGATTTTTCTTTCCCTCTAGTGGACTCATTGGCCGAAGCTGGGCTATGTTATTTGCCAGTGGAGGTTTCAAAGTAAAACTCCATGATATTGAGCAGCAGCAAATCACCAAAGCACTGGAACACATCAGGTAAGCCAGCTTATACTCTACAGTGTGACACTGAAGTTTCTATTATTTCTTTTTAAAGAGAGACATAGAATTAAAGACTATAAACAAACCTGGTTTGTCTTGACTGTGTACAGCCTTGAGAATATTACCCAACAGGAGGATGACCTCACTCCTTCAATTCAACAAATAATTTTGGAGTGCTTACTTTTACAAGCAGCATCACTATTGGAAACAGTGCTGGACTGCATTAATGGGACCTGTCTATCCTGAGCCTCAGGGTGCCAAGAGTGTTTGCTCTGCATGCAGGGCATCTCTTTGGGTATGCTTCTTCCCCCCATTATCTTGGGTTGAGGCTTTGGAGGTGGCACCAAGCATGGGATCAGTTGGGCCTGGGGAACGTAACTAGCACTTATTTACTGTCCTAGAAGCCTGTCTTCCTGAAACCTATACATACTATCTATGCCCTCAGCATCCCTGGTCTTGGAAGCTAATGCCAATGCCCGCTTCCACATCTGTCCTTACTCATCCAGCCAGTGGAGTACTGTGGTCTCAAACTGCTACTTCAGTTCCTCTCCTACGTGTAGGTTTAAATCTTAGCTCTGCCATTTATTATCTGTGTGACCTTGGTCAAGCTTCTTAATCTCTTTGGGCCTTTTATTTCTTCATTTGTAAAATTAGAGGTTGGATTTGGACTAGAGATCTGAGGTCCTTTTCAGCTCTAAATCCTATAATCCAGATATTCTTCCACATAAATTAATCTTTCTTTTACAATTTTTTTGTTATTTATTTTTAACATTCATTTAAAATTTTTTTTTGAGTTCTGAATTCTCTCCCTCTTTTGAGTTCTCTTCCTCCTGCCAGCCCATTTCCCACCCATTGAGAAGGCAAGAAATGTAATATTAATTATATATGTGAAATCATGAAAAAGATATTTCCACATTAGCTATGCTGACAATAACAAAGAACAATGTAGGGCTGTGGCTGCAAACGGAAATAAGCTTAGTGCAGACAAATCATACAATTAAATTAAATGGTATTCTTTGAAAATAAACAAAACAGTTTCAAAGTTCACAAATAGAGGGGAGGCCTTGGTATTTATTTTTAAAAACTTTCTTAAGCTCCAATGTTTGCTGCTGTCCTTATGTACAGTCGTTCTGAATAAAGTTAAATAGAAAGTTAAATTGTATTCATAAGGTGTTAATGTTTACATCATAATATTTGCAGTCCCTCAGAGAAAGCAAATAGCCTATGCCAGAAACTGGTTTCTTGACCAATAATGTTGCAGCTAGGTAGCAGTTGAAGAGGGCCAGCCTTAGACACTATCTGTGTGACCCTGGGCAAGTGACTTAACCTTGTTTGCCTCAGTTTCCTCATCTGTAAAATGAGCTACAGAAGGAAATGGCAAACCACTCCAGTATCTTTGCCCAGAATACCTCAAATGGGGTCATGACGAATCAGATATGACTGAACAACAAGAACAATATAAAACAAGAAAAATGAAGGAAAAAATTGTGCTTCGTTCTATACTTAGACTCTATCAGGTCTTTCACTGGAAGTGGATAGCATTTTTCATCATAAGTTCTTCAGAATTATCTTGGATCATTGTGTTGATCAAAATAGCTAAGTCATTCACAGTTGATCATCATCCAATATTGGTATTACTGTGTACAAGGTTCTCCTGGTTCTGCTCACTTCACTTTGTATGAGTTCATATAACTCTTCCTAGGACCATCTTATTTCTCATTTCTAAAAGCACAATGATAATCTATCACGGTCATATACTGCAACTTGTTTAGCTGTTTCTCAATTGATGGGCATTCTCTCTATTTCCAATTCCCTCATCCACAAATCTGACATGTAGAAATTTCCATGCTCCCCTAATTTGCTTATCATATCACCCTTTATGTCTAGATCATATATCATTTTGACCTTATCTTGGTATACAGTGTGAGCTGTTGGACCTAGTTTCTGCCAAATTGCTTTCCGGTTTTCCCATCAATTTTTGTTAAATGGTTACTTCTTGTCCCAGAAGTTTGGATCTCTGGGTTTATCAAACTCTAGCTTACCATGTCATTTACTGCTGTGTATTGTGCACCTAATCTATTGCACTTATCTACCATTCTTTCTTTCTCTCTCTCTCTCTCTCTTTTTTTCTTTCTTCCTTTTTTTTTTGTGAGGCAGTTCGGGTTAACTGGCTTGCCAAGGGTCACGTAACTAGTAAATATCAAGGGAATGAGGCAGATTTGAACTCAGATCCTCCTGATACCAGGGCTGGTACTCTACCCACTGTGCCAACTAGGTAAAAGGAATTTAGTAGAACTCCTTCTTTGCCTATTTTTTCAAATAGTTTATATAGTATTGGAATTAATTGTTTTTTAAATGTTTGATAGACATCTTGTGAAACTGTCTAGGGGATTTTTTCTTATGGAATTTATTGATAACTTTTTAAATTGCTTTTTCTAAGATAGGGCAAATTATTATTTCTAAACACAAGTCAGAGCATGTTACTCATCTGCTCAAAAATCTTTAGTGGCTTCTTTCTGGTTTTAGAATAATAAGAGCTAATATTTAGTAAAACATTTGCAAAGTACTTTACAAATATCTCATTTGATCCTCACAATAACCCTGGGAGGTAGGTGCTATTGCTATGCCCATTTTATAGATGGGGAAACTGTGGCAAACAGATTAAGTAACATGCCCAGAATCAAACAGTTAGTAAGGGTTTGAGACAGAATTTGAATTTGGGTCTTTCTAATTCTGGATGTAGTACTGGGCCACCTTGCTGCCTCTATAAAATTGTTGTTTAGTCGTTTTCCAGTCATGTCCAACTCTTCCTGACTCCATTTGGGGTTTTCTTGGCAAAGATGCTGAGAGGCTTTCTATTTCCTTCTCCATCTCATTTTACAATTTACCATTTACTAAGGCAAATAGGATTAAGAGACTTGTCAAGGGTTACACAGGCAGTAAGTGTCAGGGGCTGAATTTGAACTCAGGTGTTCCTGACTCCAGGCCTGGTACTCTATCCACTACACCACCTAGCAGCCCTTATGAATACAGCTGCTGAATAAAATATAAACTCAGCCTGATAGTTAAAGCCCCTTGTATTTTGGCCCTTTCCTTTCTTTCTAGACAACTCTTCTTTTTAAAAATTAAATTAAATTTTTTTCAATTAACAAGCCTTTATTTTCCTTCACCTCTCCCTTCTGCCCCACCTCCTCCATTGGAACAAATATTCATAGTGAAGCAAAAAGTATTCTCTCATTGACTGTGTCTAAAAGTGTGTCTCATTCTGTATCTTGACAGACTACTCCTTCCACCTTTCCACTCAGCTTATTCTCCATTCTAGCCAAATTGACCAAACTGGTCACAGATGATGAATACATATTCTTAGTACAGTCCTATACAAATAGTGCCAGGATTTGTAAAGGTCAGAATGAGCTGCGACTGGTAAGGAAAAGCTAAGAACAGGCAAGTTTTTATTAAAAAAAAAAAAAAAGCCATACTGAGTATGGAAAAGAAGAGCAGGATAGAACCACTGCTTAAGGTGTTTGAGATGTTAATAACTGTTGACAGAAGACAGAGTTGCTCAGCGTTTCTTCTTTCTCTGCCTAGGAAAACGATCTTTGGGCTGTAAAGGAAAGGGAAAAAAAAAACTATGGCAAATTGGGAGTTGATTCACATGATAAGAAAGGAGATAACACTTAATGGCTTTTGAGTCAGGCCAGTGGACTCAGATGAAGTACATTTTAAGATAGTCAAAGAACAGTCAGATGTAATTACTGAGCTGTTGTCAGTGATCCTTTTTTTTTTTAGAATTAATTTATTTTTAGTTTTCAACATTCACTTCCATAAGCTTTTGCGTTTTAAATTTTCTCCTCTTCTCTCCCCAAGACAGCGTATGATCTGATATAGGCTCTACATATACATTCCTATTAAGCATATTTTCACATTAGTCATGTTGTGAAGAATTGGAACCAATAGGAGGAACCACAAAAAAGAAGAAACAAAACAGAAGGAAAAAAAAAAGCAAATACTATGCTTTGATCTGCATTCAAACTCCATAGTTCTTTCTTTGGGTGTGGACAGCATTTTCCATCATGAAACTTTTGGAGATGTCTTAGATCCTTGCATTGCTAAGAAGAGCTAAGTCTATCAAAGTTAGTCATTGTACAATGTAGCTGTTACCGTGTACAGTGTTCTCCTGGTTCTGCTCACTTCACTCAGCATCAGTTAATGTAAGTCTTTCCAGGTTTTTCTGAAGTCTGCTTGCTCACCATTTCTTATAGCATGGTAGTATTCCATTACATTTATATACCACAACTTGTTCAGCCATTTCACAATTGGTGGGCATCCTCTCAATTTCCAATTCTTTGCTACCACAGAAGGAGCTGCTATAAATGTTTTTGTATGTGTAGGTCCTTTTCCCATTTTTATGATCTCTGGGATACAGCCTTAACAGTGCTATTTCTGGGTCAAAGGGTATGCACATTTTTATTAGCACTTTGGGTATAGTTCCAAATTGCATTCCAGAATGGTTGGATCAGTTCACAACTCCACCAACAATGCATTAATGTTACAATTTTCCCACATCTTCTCCAACATTTCCTGTTTTGTCATGTTGGCCAATGTGAAAGGTATGATGTGGTACCTCAGAGTTGTTTTGATTTGCATTTCTCTAATCTCTAATAGTGATTTAGACCATTTTTTCATATGATTATGGATAGCTTTAATTTCTTCATCTGAAAACTGCCTGTTCATATGCTTTGACCATTTATAAATTAGGGAATGACTTGTATTCTTATAAATTTGACATAGTTCTCTATATATTTTAGAAATGAGGCCCTCATCAGAGTTACTGGTTGTAAACATTCTTTCCCAGTTTTCAGCTTTCCTCTTAATCTTGGTTGCACTGACCTTGTTTGTGCAAAGACTTTTCAATTTAAGGTAATCAAAATTATCCATTTTGCGTTTCATAATGTTCTCTATCTCTTGTTTGGTCATAAATTCTTCTGTTCTCCATA